CATGCCATTTACCATTTTGTTTTACACTTGTGTAAACAAATGGAGAAATAAAATCAGTCTAAAGTTTCGCTTTTTAAATGGAATCAATGAAATAAAGTTTTCAAACTCCATAACCAGAACCTGTATAGCAAGACAATAGGTGTGTTTGTTAAGAGCAAAAGATGCAAGCCCTCACTCAACTGCTAAAGGCAGCTCTGGTTCTGGAGGAATTAGGTTCTGCAGGTACCTTACTCTGCAGGAACTTGAAGCATTGTTGGTTCAGAACCTCCACAAACTCGGACTCAAAGTCCTGGTCGCTGTACCAGGCACCACCGGTCACTGAGCGGTCAGGCTGCAGGTTGTAGAGCATGTACACCTTCTTCTTGGACGCCTGGAGATGCAGACAAGCAGAATCAGGTGGACAGAACCGGGCCAGGTCTGGATCGAACACCATCAACAGTTCTTTCACAGGAACAGAGATGAGCTTAGCCTAAAATAACAGTTCAATAAAAACAGACCTTTTATGATAAATATTAATCAACATCTAAAGCATTTCCCTGTAGATAAAATAAATAACATAAATATTAAGGATAAAGCTTTGGGTCTGGAATGGACCCATTTCTCTATCAGTTTGTGAATGTTTTAATTTTCATACAATATGATGAGTTTTCAACATCTTTAAAAAACAAAACAAAAATGACCTCTGCAGCTCCCCCGGCCAATCATAAGTCAGAATAGTTTAAAGCATCCAATCAGAAGATAATAAGGAAAACTGTTTTATTTTCACTTATTATCTAAGTAACTTTGTTAGGATTTATTAGAGATTTTCGTGCTTTTGAAACATTATTTTAGTCAAATAGCTGATTTTTTTTTTTCAAATCCTTTAAATTAAATTCTTTAGGATTTATTTTTTAGTTCACAGATTTTAGTGCTAAACTTTTTCATGAATATTGAGAATTTTTCCGCTTTTTTCCAAGTACTGGGAAACCCTCAGCCACGGGTTCTGGACTCACAGCCACAGACTTGACAGCTTTGATGAGCTTTTTGCTCTCCAGGTTCTTCAGAATCTTGTTGATCTCAGTCAGAGGAAGGTTGCTCTTGAAGCGGATGTCTCTGCTCCAGATTCCTGCAGTGAGATAAAATAAAATAAAACTCTGAGAGGTTCGGATCCAATCATAGGGATTAGCACCAACAGTCTGGTTTGATGATACCTTTGTTCCCTGCATCCTCAATGATCTGGTAGACCAGCTTCTCTTGGTTGTCAGAACCTTTCATCTTACTGGAAGAAAGAGGACAGTCAGAAAAGCAAAACCCAACAGAACCGGGCCTGGATGCTTGTGAAGGCTTACCTGGCTCCCTGAGTGTCCTTCATCCGGTACAGGAGACCAGTGCTGTTCCTCAGTAGGTCCAACTGACCCTGAAACAGATTCAGATCAGAGTTAAACACCTGGCAAAACTTTTCACCTTTGTTTTTGCTCTTTTGTTGCTTAAAATTTTTTTTCGATGCAATGTATTAACGATCAAATTCATCCATCATCATCCAAGTACCCCTCGGTTTAATTTAGCCTTGGGCCTCCAACAAAGATTCTGTCCATTTTCTCTCCCTGATTACTAATCATGACCTTTGACCTTGGTTTAGACAGTAAAGGGCTGTTAATTCCAATCAGATGCCTGCTGTCTGCGGTCACCTACAGTTTTGGAGTAGTGCAGCAGAGTGTCTGCGGAAGGGGCGGGGCCATATCTGCGACACATTAGCAGACCACCTGGTTTCCGAGTATAAACCAGCCTTAAGTCCTGCAGAGCAGTAGATGGTCTGATTTCTTCTACCTGCTCCATCATCCATCACAAACCTTAAATCAAACCCAGACAGCTTCGCCTCTCGTCTTCAGGTTTAAATTTCTTGCCCCATGTTGGCCTTCCTGTTTGGTTTAACTGCGGTCTAATTTACAAAACTTTGAATAACCTAAAACAAACAGTCCATATGCTCCAAAAAGTGGAACTTGTGTCCATCATGCCTCCCACGAGTTTGTTGGGAATCAAAGCACTGACCAACGGGGAGAAAAATTTTATGATTTGAACACTGGTTGTACCTGGATTCTTCCAGACGATCGGCTGAAACCTCTAAGCAACCAGAGGAGGAGTAAACAACCAGAACGTCCCTCTGTGTTGGCAAAGAAGCACATTCTTCAAACTGCTTTCAATCGGCCACAGGCAGCCCGGAGCAGGGCAGCTATCTGGACCCTTAAGTTTTACAGGAGAGGCTCAGAACCAGAGATCCAGCAGAAACGTGAAAGCAGGCCTCACAGAGGACATCTTTAGCCCTTCCAGCTAAGCTATCAACTCATCTACAGCCTTAGGTGCTCCTGAAAACCCCTCATCATCCTTAAAATGAAGATGAACAGAGGTACCTTATCTAACGGTGACAGGAAAAGTGTTTCCAGCTAAACAATTTGGGATTTTGATCCTTTCGTTGTGTCTATTCTGTCTTAAAACTGCATAAGCTAGTAGCACGCTTGCTAACCACATTCTAATGTGTTTTGAGTGATAATTATGGTTATGATGAAATTTATTTGAATTAAGTTTCAAAGTAATATTTCAAAATTTGTGTTGTTT